ATTTCCAACAGGATTCCAGATGGTTCTGAGGTAGTGTTAGAAACCACGTGACACATGGACCAGCACCATGGCTCACTAGGCTAATCCTCCACCTGCAGCGCCGGTACCCCAGGGTTCTAGTCCTGGTCGGGGTGCTGGTCCTGTCTCGGTTGCTCCTCTTCCAGTCCAGCTCTCTGCTTTGCCCTGGAAGGCCAGTGGAGGTTGCCCCAAGTCCTTGGCCCCCCCCCCCTTGGGGGGGAACCCGGGGGGAACCCCCTGCCCCCTGCCTTCAGTTCCCCCCACCCCCGTTCTTAGTGCCCCCTTGGGGGGGGGGGGGGGGGGGGTGAACCAAGGAAAGGAAGACCTTTCTCTCTCTCTCTCTCACTGTCTAACTCTGTCTGTCAAAAAAAAAAAAAGAAAAAGAAAAAGAAATCACATGACACAGTGGCCTGGGGAGCACGCCAGGCTCTGCTTCCCTGCCCCTGCCTCTCTTCAGCACCACCTACTTTCACCACCGCAGACCTGACACTGCCTGTAGGACCTGGCTGAGATTTGCTTCTGAACAGGAGAAGCCAGAACACATCCCTGAGTTTCTGTTTTGTATGGCGTTATTTTTTTCATTATTTTATGTTTTCCGAGTTTTGTTGTTTTTCTTGCCTAAGGCTTCTGCCTCCTCTGAGGTACCAATTTGTATGGTTGATCTCATGCTGATTCCAATACATTCCTGGTATTCAGACACAAGCAAGCCTTCCTGGTCCCACGTTCCTGTCTAGTCCATGTTCATGCTCAGTTACATCAGTAGCTACAGCGCTCATCCACACAGGGTCCCAAGTGCTAGGGCAGAATAATTAGTTCATGGTGTAACAGGCCATTGGATTCTTCATCAGGAGCCTGGATTCAGATCATGATTCTGTGCATTGTCTATACAAGACACCCTCAGGGTATCCATTCATTACACAAAAATAATAATCCCTTGATGTAAAAATTATAACAAAATCGAGACCTGGAGCATAAAAACCTGAATTCAAAATCCAGTTCTTAGGAAGATTTTAGATACATTGAAATCAGGTTCACATTTTCTAGCCTAAGAAAGAAAACAAAATTCAACAACAAAAAGTGGGCTCATTTCACTGTTCACTGGAGCATTGTCAGTAGCAGTTAAATAGAATAGATTAGACCTTCTTAAAATCTGGGTCAGAAGCCTTTCAAAAATTATTCTTGCAGAAGCATGCATTCTTCTAAATTATTAAATTTAAATAATTTCTTGTAGGAGAAAAGGACAACACAGTTCTACCACTTCGTAGCTATACCACAGGGACAAGTTATTTATCCTCTAAGTTTCGGTGTTTTTCTGTAGAAAATGAGGTTAATAATGCAATATCTACATCAAAGAGTGGCAGTAAGGATTAAGTAAGACAATGGGTTCTGAAAACACAGTGCCAAGAACACAGTAAGTTCTCCACAAATGGTGATGGTGGTGATAAACGATAGGATATTGTTATTGTTGCTATCAGCACTACCATCATCGTCACCTCACAGCCAATATCAACATAAATTTCAGTGACTTCATTTGTTCAATAAACAGTGCAGGACATACACCGTAGTGAAAGGCCTGAAATTTAGGGTCAGTATTATGTGTTGCCTTGACAAATGGTAAAAACCAGCAAGGCCACAATTACCCTGACCATAAGTTCCCATTCCACTCTTCCCATCCGCCTTCCCAGATAAAGCTCTTTCACCAAGTGGCCTTCCTTAACAAGAAGACTAGACAGCATTCTTGTTCTTCCCTAGATAGTAAGTTCCATTTTCTACTAGCCTACAGAATTATTCAAACAAATGGATCACAGCTTCTAAAAAGAAATTAGAAGTACCCCATCCTCCTAATACTACAGAGCTTCTTGCCTACAGCCCCTAGTTGTTCACTCTGCAGCTAAGTGCAGCCCCCTGCATGGCTAGCAGTGTCCCCTTTCCCAGGCAGTGAGTATACGGGATGATTACCACAGTGGACCTTCCCAGTACTGGGTGTTGTGTGTATGGCCATCCCCGCAGCCCAAGAATGAGAATCCCTTCTTCATCCATGAGATGGAGAGGAAGTGAAAACACCTCAAGCATGACCACTGATCCTGCCATTCACAACCCAGAGGAGAAAACATTTGGGTAAAGGGGCCTTTAGATCAATTGGATGGGTGATAAATGGAGAGGTAGAACATGCCATGTGAGCAGAGAGAGAAGCAGGACAGACTAGATGGAGGGGTGCAGGACAGCAATTTTTCAGATAAAATCATATTTGAGTCAACTGGCAATCCTCAGATGAAGATTCAGAAACATGATTAGCATGTAGCACTGTGCTAAAGTCACCCTACCCCTAGTTCTTACCCAGAGCACTTCCAGCGAGAGAGAGCATGCTGATTCCACACATAAGCCTGATGCTCTCTGTGTTTCAGATGGTGCTCTGAGGTCCAGGATTGTCTATGCCCGGTGTTGTTCTAGTTCTGTGTTTATTATTCATACCTCGAGTTGCTCGCTGTGTTGTTGAGTCTTTCTCTGTTAGAATAGAGTAGTTGCCAACACCTGCTCTTGTCTGCTGTTTGTCACAGTCTACAGACAGCATGCTCAGACTCCATCTAGAGCAGCTGAGCCCTTAAATCATCCATCCAGCGCCAAACTTACTTTCCAAAAGTGGAAATAAGCACTTTGCTGCATTTCCTTCTTTGAAATTTCATTCGGCTCTCAATCTAGTCTCTCCCACTCTCTACATGTGCATATGTATGTGCATATATTTGTGTGAAAGACATATATAATATCTACTACATGTTTTAAATGAAGATAAGAACATTTACTATTTGAATACTTGCTGTGCTCCAAGCACTATATAAGGATGTTGCATACATTATCTCATTTAACCACTGCACAGCCCCAGAAGGTAAAAAGGGGTCCCCTGGATGAGAAAATTGAGTCCGGTAGATGTACAGTAACTGATACACAAACACACAGCTATTATATATAAAAATTCTTACTTGATTTTAGGATTACTTGAGTCTAAATTCATGCCTGGAACCTCTGTCCTATTCTGATACAATGTTTTTCATCACAACTCAAAATTCTTTGGCCAAAAATGTTAGAAGCTTGTTATTTAAAAAGTTTAAACCAACAGTGCAAGTTGAAAACCATCCTTTAACAGAAATAAACCAGTACTTAAATAAACTACTGGTTAGTAGAAATTACTACCACATCTTTGTATAAATGCAAGGTTGGTTTGTCTTCTTTCAAATCAAATCAAATACTACTCAAGCTGAGTGATCTCCAAACTAGATGCATCATGAATACTAGTGGACCTGCTGTTAAATATCATTCTAAACATCTGAAACCATATTTTCACCCTCTACAGCTCTGCAGGTTAGTTCCATAGTAATCTGAATTAATATGTCTTTTGTGGACACCATAGAGGAGAAACAGTCCAAACAGTATTTGGAGAAGAAAAAGACTTGTGTTGTCTTAGTTGAGACTTTGCGGTCAAGATTTCATTATGACTTCTTTTAGAGACCAAATTCCAATAAATTATGCAAAACCTAGATACGCCCATCTGCAATAGCCAAAAAGAACACTGTGGAAAAAGCTGTGTAGAAAGTAATGGGGTGGTTGAAATGGGTGTTTTATAAGGCCTAAAACCTCATTTCCTCCTATACAAGTCTAAGACCTGATTTAAGATCCTTGTCTTTTGTTCTATCAGAAAGAAGACTTCAATAAGACTCCATCAAAGTGGTCCAGAGAGAAGCATGATACAACAGCAGACTCATAGAATGGCAAATGCTATAAACAGCACTCTGGCCTCAGAATCAGCTCTTAAAGCATTCGGATCTGGCTAAAAAATCCATGAGAGTATTTCAGGCATGTAAAGCCAAGACACTGTGGCAAAAAATGACCTATTGAAAGATCTCTGTGAGTGAGATCCCAGAGGAAAGAACGGGCCATCAAAGAAGGAGGTACCTTTCTCTAAAGGGAGGAGAGAACTTGCATTTTGATTATGGACTTGTCTAAATAAGGTCAAATTTTGTGAACTCAAGAGGCTTCCATAGCCTTGGCAGCTCATGACAAGAGCCTCAGGAGATTACTGATGTCATAAATAAGAGTGCCAACTGTTAAATCAACAACAGGATTCATTGTGCACTTACTCCCCATGTAGGATCTCTGTCCTTAATGTATAGTACTATGCAAATTAATAGTAAAACCAGCCTTCAAATAGTACTCTATACTTTGTGTTTCTGTGTGAGTGCAGTCTGTTGAAATCTTTACTTAGTATATACTAAGTTGATCTTCTGTATATAAAGAAAATTAAAAATGGATCTTAATGAAGAATGAGATGGGAGAGGGAGTAGGAGATAGAATGGTTTCAGTGTGGGAGGGTGGTTATGGGGCGGGGAACCACTATAAACCAAAAGTCGTATTTTCAAAATTTCTATTTATTAAATAAAAGTGGTTTTTTTGTTTGTTTTTTTGTTTTGTTTTGTTTTGTTTTGTTTTTACACAGGCGGAGTGGACAGTGAGAGAGAGAGACAGAGAGAAAGGTCTTCCTTTGCCGTTGGTTCACCCTCCAGTGGCCGCCACGGCCGGCGCACTGCGGCCTGCGCACCGCACTGATCCAAAGGCAGGAGCCAGGTGCTTCTGCTGGTCTCCCTTGGGGTGCAGGGCCCAAGCACTTGGGCCATCCTCCACTGCACGCCCGGGCCACAGCAGAGAGCTGGACAGGAAGAGGGGCAACCAGGACAGAATCTGGCACCCCGACAGGCGGAGGATTAGCCTACTGAGCCTTGACGCTGGACCAAAAGTTTTCTTAAAAACAAAACAAAACAAAAGTGGTCCAGAGATAGTACTAATCTTCAGAAATGGGACTGAATTTCCTGCCCCTCTGAGTATTTTAGTAGAGTGAGAAGGTTTATTTTAGGAAATCATGTGTTTTCTGAAAGTAATCCATCAGCTTAAGAAAAATACCAAATGTTGATATAAATTTGGCATGGGAGCTACTCTTGCTTATGTGACCAGATCTCTGTTTTCTTCCAGGAAAGCTACACTATGTGGGAGTTCAAGCAAGGATTTTCAATGGACTGGATGTTCAATATAATGTCAGGTTTAATAAAGTAGCTGAACTTAACCAGGAAGATTGCTTTATTGAGAAATCTCATCCTAAAGGAAATTATTTAACCAATTACTCAAGGAATCATAAAGTGCTGAATTTATAGGGACATAAAGCATCTGGATCAGGAGATTATGACCTCAGGTCTGTGGAGTCTTCCTAGAGATTGTAGGTAGACCTCAGTGGTCTCATTAATAATAAATACACACAGATTTATTCATGTTCATGTGTAAATATTTGTTTCATTAGTTTTTCTCTAGAGAAGAAAGTAGAAAACATCTATCCATGTTTTAAAGGTTTAGGTGCCACTGATTTTGATCAATGTTTGTTTATCTGTGAGCATACTGGTGTCCAGGGAGGTCAGGTGATGTTACAGAATCATAAAGCTGGAGAGAAGCAGAACTGCCAGTCATCGTCTCTTCTGATTCCCAGACCAAGGCTCACACACTTCTTCTAAGTGACCTACAATGGTAGGATTTCTTCTGTGGCTGCATCTGAGCTGCAGCCTATAACTAGGATTGTCAGAAAACAGAAACTTAAAATATTTTGCTCAAGAATAGGAGGTTGATATATTGAGTGCATTTATATCTAAGATTTGGAATAGTGGAGTTTCTTAGTTTGAATTTCCCCAGAAAAGAACCTGAGATAGGCACTTGGACTTAAATAATTTAATTTGTTGGTGATGCCAGGAATCTATGAGGGAGTAAGGGAATAAGACAGAGAAGGGATAAAAGTCAGTGACTGGTATAGGAATTACAAGGGTAACACTATGGAAATAGGGCACCATCTTGGGACCTCATGGCTCATAGATACGCCTCCATAAGGGCAAGAAAGAAGTGCCACTTATCTTTTACCTGCCATCTGTCACTAACTGAGGAATTTTCTTGGCCATAAAGAAATGATATGGGAATCATATATGGGCACTGTCTCCCAGAAACACCCAGGGACAGGAAGGTTTTCACAACACCTGTTAAGAGATGTTTTAAGAGGTAAAGGAAGGAAGACATATCTGTGGATTTGAGTACCAGTAGATCATAACATGTGGGGGAAAGGGGAATTTTATAAGTCATCTATTACTACAACCTCTTATATAACGGATGTAAATGACGTAAAATTAAGATTCTCTATTTAATACAAGTTAAAATAACAATCTATTCTATTATCTTCAATATTAAAACATAGTTTTTTTGTTTGTTTGCTTGTTTGTGGTGTTGCTTTTTTTTTTTCAAGGTCATCTCCATCCTTTGTTGCTTTAATTTATGTGGAGAAAAAATTTACAGGGGTCTTCCACTGGTGGCCAACTTCTATTTTGAAGCTACACAAAATACAATCAAAATATCTTCTCAATGACTCCCTATAAGAGCCAGATTACAATGTAGTCCGCCATGATTCCCACCTTCTAGAATCTAAGATGTTGTATAAACTCCTCCCACACTGAATAAAGCTTATTCATGTACCCAACAGAACACTATAGAAATGACAGAATGCAACTTCAAATACTAAGTCACAGAAGTTACTATAGTTTCAGATTATTCACAGAGGAAAGCCACAGCCATGTCGTGAGGATAACCAAGAAGTCCTGTAGAGAGGTCTACATAGGGAAGAACTGAAATCTGCCAAGAGTCATCCAAGTCAGCTGTTTTGGAAATGGATCCTCATTGTTCGCCAAGCTTTCAGATGACTACAAGTGCAGCCAACATTTTGACTGCAAGTTCGTGAGAGACCCCGAGCCAGAAACCCCCAGCTATGCTGCTCCTAGATTCCTGACAAAGAAAATGTGTCAGGTAATATAAAGGCATTACCAAAGAATGTGGAAAACAGAACAAGATAATTTTTTTCTAGTGCAAAATTTTTTGAAATCCTTCGTTTATTAATAGTATGTATTTTCTGATGAGCTTTTTGAAGATTCCTCATACGACTTAAGGGTTTTAAGACACTGAGCTTCAGCATAATTTGCTACATAGCCTAGATACCTGGTACTTAGGCTTTTTGGTACTTAAAGACAGAGCCTGCCAGTCTTCTAAGAAACGCCCCCCTTTTGCCATTTTTCTTCCTTGGTGGGGCCTGGTTTTCTGTTTCTTTACTTCCTTATAGGACCGATCCTATATGTGAATATATGTATTTTAGGTTCAGTTTGTATTCGTTAAATCTCTTTGCTGAAAGTGACAGAAACTCACATTCTCCCAGTTTACACATAAAAAGAAAGGCTATGTTGTCTCACATAACTCAATTTCCATAAGAGGGGATGTGGCCTTCATGACAGTTGGAACCATGAACTTAAATAACACATGAGCGCTTCCTCTTTCTTTTCTGATTTCTATTCTACATTTTGGCTTCCTTTTCAAAAGAAGTTATACCACTTTTTACATAGCTTTTATGAAGCTAACTGTGTGGCTGGAAACCAAACACTATTCCTTCCTGCCTGGTAGCTCCAGTTAAATCTTAGGGAAGAATTGCAATTGGTCTGACTTAGACCGTGTTCCTATCTCTAGATCACTGGGAATGGCAACACTTTATCATGCCCAGGTCGATGCTGTGTACATCCCTGTGACTGGGGGTATATCACATGGAGGGTTAGGAAAATGTTAGAGGAGCAGGTAATCCTAAAATGAAAGTGATCTTTTGGACCAAGAGACAATAATGTCTGCTGTCTTAGCTAGACAGGATGTCCCTCATATCTGGATGAATGTGGAATGCACAGATTACTTTCTGGTGTAAAATCAGTACATCCTATTAAAAATGTGATATGCTAATCTCTAAAAACCAAAGGATATACTTAAGAGCATGGTTGCTGGTAGTAAAAAAAAAATTCTATCAAAAGATAGTGTGGAATAACCACCACATAGAACAAAGTTTGCTCAGATGAGGACTTGGATTTCAAGCACAGAAACATAGGGGTTCATGCTCAAGGTCATGGCTTCTCCACAACAGTATAACACACTAGACTTACAGTTCTATGTGAGGTAGTTTGAGATTTTTATTCTGAATAATTATTTCCAGGAGATAAGCTATCATAGTTTTTATTTTTCACTTTTCTATATTTTTTTTCCTTTCTCATGTACCAAGGTAGACTCACAGTCATCCTTGTGGTAACAGCTGTCTTGCTAGCATCCATCCCAAGATAGAGTATAGTCTCATTTTTAAAGATTTATTTATTTATTTGAAAGGCAGAGTTACGGAGAGGCAGAGGCAGAGGCAGAGAGAGAGAGATCCTCCTTCCATTGTTTCACTCTCCAGATGGCTACACCGGCCAGAGCTGCACCGATCCGAAGCCAGGAGCTTTTTCCCGGTCTCCCTTGTGGGTGCAGGGGCCCAAGGATTTGGGCCATCTTCTATTTTCCTCCCAGGCAATAGCAGAGAGCTGGTTCAGAAGTGGAGCAGCTGGGACTTGAACCAGCACCCATATGGGATGCTGGCACTGCAGGGGCAGCTTTACCCACTATGTCACAGTTCCGGCCCACTGGTCTCCCATGGGGTGCAGGGCCCAAGCACCTGGGCCATCCTCCACTGCACTCCCTGGCCACAGCAGAGAGCTGGCCTGGAAGAGGGGCAACCGGGACAGAACCCGGCGCCCCGACCGGGACTAGAACCCGGTGTGCCGGCGCCGCTAGGCGGAGGATTAGGCTAGTGAGCCGCGGCGCCGGCCTATAGTATAGTCTTATGATGGAGAAGATGGTCATCTGAATACACAGTCTAGATTTGGATCACTGCTTTGCTCCATATTAGATTTATAATTTTGTGCAAGGTCTTTAAACTTGCCTTGTCTCAATTGTGCCTCATGATGGTTTTGGAATCATAATACTATTTCACGTGCATATTAAAAATTAAATGAATTAATGTATACAAAATTCTCATACTAACATCTCATTTATATGTGCCACATATATCCTAGCAATTGCCATTGCTATTATTATTATAATTACCCTTTAAGTGATGGTATTGTACTTAATGCTATTCCCATGGAAATTTATGCATACCCTAGGATACTGCAATTGGAGTAGGTCACCCATTTGAATATCGACTGCTCCTTAAGTTGAGGAAAAAGAGAAACTTGAAAATTGTCTTTCTAAGCACTCAGTGGATTTGATCACAGTCTCTATTAAGAGACTGGCAAGACAAATGAGTTAGAATAATTTGTGGGACATTCTGACGGGAAATAGAGATCTCTTATAATACTGTAAATCCAGTCATCTGGTAAAGTCTGTACTGATTGCATATAGATATGTCTTCAAGAAATATAAAAACAAATATATCCCAATGCACTTCCATAAGAAATGAGTATTCATCTGTGAGTTGCTGGTTTTCCAATTGCAATAACAAAGATTTAAACAATATTTAGGACTCAACATATCCATCATAAAAGCTAATCTTTCCTAATGCCCATTTTTATCCAACCACAGTGTATAGTTAAATGCTAGCACTGAGAAGCACCGTATTTAGAAAAGAACAAGGCAACATCATCGACCACAGCTATTTATACACTCCTCCAGCTCAAATATTTCAGACTGTGCACACTTGCTACTGACAGGGCTTACTTTTTAAAATTCTTTAAAACTACTGCATAAAACATTGTTGAAAGGTGTAGCAGTTAGACCATTACATCAGTAATCACAAAGCTTTAAAAAGTAAACAATACTTCAAGATCATTCAGTACACCTAGCTGGGTAGCATTTTACTAAATATTTTTAAGACTTCTATCCTCAAACCACAGAAGGGCTTAAAGAAGCAGTGTAATTATGACACAAGCACAACACTCTCTATGGCAGTCATAGTTAATTTCCAAACAAGCCTGAACTCAGCATGAGAACACCTTTCAATGCAGCTTTCTAGATTAATACATCAAATCAATGAGCAGTAGCGTAAAACTGAAATCTGTTAACCTTGACCCAATGGTGGATAGCTGAATTCAACACAGGATACTCAATTTCCATACTAATCTCATGATATCATTCAAATTCTTCAGTTATGTAAACCAGACTGATTGGGCCACCCCCACACTGTTCTGCTGAACAGTCAGCCCATCTCAGTTACCATGCTAGTGAAATCCCTTTCCTGGGCATGGTCATAAGCTCTTCTGGTGAAAATCACAAATTTTTAATGGAGCAAAATTAATACCACACAATGTACATTTTAAAGTGCATGATTCGTTGCATTTTATTGCGTTCACAAAGTTGTACAGCACTGTCATTGTCTAATTCTAGAATATTTCCATCACCCCATAAAGAATCCCTGCATCCATTAGCAATCACTCCCCTATTCCTCACTCTCCTCTCACTATTCCAGCTCCTGGGAATCACTAACATATTTTTTGCCTCTATAGATTTCCCAATTTTGAATATTTCATATAAATGGAATTGTATAATACATTGCCTTCTATTCCTAGTTCCTTTCACTTGGTATACTATTGTGAAGTTTCATCCATGTTGTTACACATATCAATACTTCTTTCTTTTTGTGTAAATGATAATATTTCAGAGCTGGAACAGTGGCCTAGGCAGGTTATGCTACTGCCTACAGAGATGACAACCCATCTTGGCTCTTCCACTAATGGATGTGAAAGCAGAGGAAGACAGCCCAAGTGCTTGGGCCCCTGCACTCATGTGGGAGACTCAGAAGAAATTCCTGGGTCCTGGCTTCGGCCTGGCCCAGCTCTGGCCATTTGGAGTGTGAACCAGCAGATGGAAGATCTCTATGTCTCTCCCTCTCTCTCTCTGTATTTCTACCTTTCAAATAAGTAAAAGAAATCTTTTTAAAAAATAAATAAAATCTGTTAATTAAATTAAAAATTAACATTTCATTTTGTGATATACCACATTTTTTTCCATTAACAGTTGATAGGGATTTAAATAGTTTCTATTTTGGGCTATTATAAAACAACAACACCGCTATCAACATTCATATTCAAGTTTCTAAATGGTGTTGTGTTTTCAATTCCTTTGCACATATATGCTTCAGGGTGAAATTACAAAGTCACATGATGACTCAATATTTAAGTGTGGAGGAACTAACAGACTATTTTGTAAAGTAGTTGTACACTATCACATTCATACCAGCAATGTATAGGATTCTAACTTATCCACTTCCTCACAAACACCCACAATTATATTTGTTTTGAATCATACTCATCCTACTGGATGGGACTGTTACTTTACTGTGCTTTTGGTTTGAATTTCTCCACTAACTGAAAATAGTTAGCATGTCTTCACATACTTATTAGCCACTTATCCTTGGGGAACTATTTTTCAAATACTTTGCTAAATTTTAATTGGGAAATTGGTCTTTTCATTGTTGATTTTTTTTTTTTTTTTTTTTTTTTTGGACAGGCAGAGTGGACAGTGAGTGAGAGAGACAGAGAGAAAGGTCTTCCTTTTGCCATTGGTTCACCCTCCAATGGCCGCCGCGGCCCGTGCGCTGCGGCCGGCCGGCCGGTGTACCACGGTGATCCGATGGCAGGAGCCAGAGTACTTATCCTGGTCTCCCATGGGGTGCAGGGCCCAAGCACCTGGGCCATCCTCCACTGCACTCCCTGGCCACAGCAGAGAGCTGGCCTGGAAGAGGGGCAACCGGGACAGAATCCGGCGCCCCGACCAGGACTAGAACCTGGTGTGCCGGCACCGCAAGGCGGAGGATTAGCCTAGTGAGCCGCAGCGCCGGCCAATTTTTAAGAGCTCTTTTATTGTGATTATTCAGCCCTCATCAGATATGATTTGTAGATGTTTTCTCCTACTTTTTAGGTTGCCTTTTCACTTTCTTGAAAGAATCCTTGAAGTAAAAAGATTTTAAT